CCAGGAGACTTTCCTTACTAGATGTTCTGAAAATAGTTGTGCCTTAAAAAAAAAATCCCAGTTATTAAGAAATAGATGAATAGACACGACCAAATGAATGATTGAAATTCCTGCCCATCAATGAGTACATGTACAACCAAAAGAAACTTAAGACACTAATCACATGGTGTGAATTTTGTTTAGATTTGAAATTAGGCAAAGTTAAAAAGTAATTTATAACATTTATGCAACCATTAGACAATTAAACAATGGTTGGCATTTGATGATATTACCAAATTATTATTAAGTGTTTAGCTTGAAGACATATTTTGGCTATTTTTACATGGCTATTATGCTTTAGAGAAGAACCTTGGAGGACTTAACAAGGAAATGATAATATCTAGGATTTCCTTCAAATTATTCCAAGAAGTAGTGAGTGGATGGGCATATAGATGAAAGAATATTGGCTTGAGTTGAAAAGTATTGAAGCTAGGTGATGGATACAAGGAACATTATTATACCTTTCTGTTTCTTTTAAACATGCTAGAAATTACATAATCAAGAGCAAGTGGGTTGTAACAAATTGTCTATTAAAGATTTAGTACATTCACGCAGCAATTATTTTTTGAGCACATATTAAGAGATAAGTCCTGTTGTAGGTCCTGAGGATTCGCTTATGAAACCATAATTTGGCTGGGTGCTGTGGCTCACACCTGTAATCCTAAAACTTTGGACAGCCCAGGTGAGAGGATTGCTTGAGGCCAGGAGCTCAAGACAAGCCTGAGTAAGAGCGAGACCCCATCTCTACAAAAGACAGAAAAATTAGCTGGGCATGGTGGCCTGTGCATGTAGTCCTGGCTACTTGGGAGGCTGAGGCAGGAGGTTCACTTGAGCCCAGGAGTTGGAGCTTGCAGTGAGCTAGGATGACACCATTGCACTCTAGTTGGGGCAACAGAGCAAGACCCTGTTTCAAGAAATTAAAAAAAATAATAATAAATAAATAAATTAAGGTCCATTAAAATGTTAATGAGTTTATTTGAGCATTCAAACAATTTGTGAATGGGCAGCACCAGATCACAAACAGTTCAGTGTTCCTCTGGGGAAAGGTGGCGAGAGAGGAAAATTCCATAAGGTAAAGTTTGTGGATGCAAGACAAAGAAAATATGTTTGATTGGTTAAGGTGCAAAGTCCCTGGTATTTTACAGAGCTGAAATATCATTATTTTCATTATCATTGTGGGTTTTTAAAATTAAAGAAAAATACTTTTTTTGTTTTTTAGAGACAGTGTCTACTATGTTGCCCAGACTGGTCTTGAACTCCCGGCTTCATGACATCTTCCTTCCTCAGCCTCTCCAGTAGCTGGGACAACAGGCAAGAGCCACTGTGCCTAGCCGTATATATATATTTTTTTTCATGTGTGCAAATTTATGGGGTACACGTGAAATTTTATTATATGTGTGTATATAAGGCATAGTGATCAAGTCAGGGTATTTGGGGTATTTGTCACCCAGGCACAGCACCTTTTGTTGTAGTCACTTTTCTCTGCCATCAAACATTGAATTTCTTCCTTCTATCTACCTGTATGTTTGTACTCTTTAACCCACTTGTCTTCATCTGTCCCCCTCCCCACCATCCTTCTAGGTCTCTTTTATCTATCTTTCTGCTCTCTTCCTTCTTGTGAACACATTTTTTAGCTCCCACATATAAGTGGGACCATACGATATTTGTCTTTGTGTGCCTTGCTTTTTTTTTAACCTAAGATAATGACCTCCAGTTCTATCCGTGTTGCCGTGAACAATATGATTTCATTCTTTTTCCATGACTAAAGAGTATTACATTGTATATGAAATGTAATTATTAATACTTTGTGTATGAAATGCTATTGTTTCCAGTATTTCAACAGGAAATGCTGGTGGGTTTCCGGGTGTGACTTTGTGGCGTGCTGCCCCCTGAAGGTGTCCCTGGGAAAAACACTTGCCTGTGCAGACTGAGGCTCAGCAGGTGTGTGTGAGGAAGAAAGGCAGGGACAGGCTCAGGGGACCTTGTCCCTCAGGTGGCAGCAGGAAAGGAAGGTGTCAGGGTGAGGTGGGGTTCTGTGACAGGAACTTCCAGTTTGCTTCCTTCAGGCTTAAAGCAACACGCTTACCTAAGTGTCAGGATTGCACTTTCTCCATAGCTTCCCGAGTGGACTTTAGCCGGATCCTTTCTCAGTTTTATGAAGAAACAAGCACACAACAAATCCACAGAGTGCCATTCCAGCTGGTTCCTTTCTGTAAATAATCAACCTGCTTTCACTGTCATCCAGGATTCAGTTTTGCAGTTCAGAGAAGGTCGTGTTCAGAGTCATCGGGCTGGACAGTCCGGCACAGTCCGGGGGGGAGTAGAGGTGATGCCAACGGCATCCCAGGATTCCTCTTCTCCATCCCGGCTTCCCTGAACAGGGTGGTGTGGCAGGGATGACTGGGTCTCCTTGCTCAGAACTTTTGGGGTCTATGTGCCCAAAGTTTTATTAAGACAATCCCATTCATCACCATCAGCTTCACAAGCGACATCTCCTTGATGACAAACAATTTGACATTAAATGAGTGATTTATTTTAATCACTCATTTAATTGTCTGCATCCTCACCAGAATGTAAGTTGCCTGAAGATAGGAGCCAGGTCTGTCTTGTTCATACTTGTCTTCAAAAATTAATTTAATTGGGAGGCCATTAAGCTGAGATGGCTCCAGTGCCTTGGACCTTCCTGAGATGGCCACCCCCCATTCCATGTTTTGTTTTGTTTTTAGAAATGGGGTTTCACTCTGCTTTCTAGGGTAGAGTGCAAATGAATGATCATAGCTCACTGCAGCCTTGAATTCTTGGGCTCAAACAATCCTCGTTCCTTGGCCTCCTGAGTAGCTAGGACTCCAGGTGAGCACCACCATGCCCAGGTAATTAGAACAATTTTTTATAGAGATAGGGTCTTGCTATGTTGCCCATGCTGTTCTCAAAACCCTGGCCTCAAATGATCCTCTCACCTCAGCCTCCTGAGTCTCTGTGATTATAGGAGTTGGCCACCAAGCCCAGCTCCATTCCTTATCTTTTATCCTGAATTGGACACTTTGTATATTTCTGGCACACAGCACCTTACTGTCTGCATAGCCTGATCCTATGTGATCATGTAGATCCACAAGAGGCTGTTCCACAGAGCATGCCACAAACCCATGTATTTTTACCCTTTTCACCTAAATATCTTCACAATATATAGTAGCCACTGCAAAAAGTACTAATTTTTACTTGGTTCACATGAGCCAGGCACTGTATCATGCACTTTTAGTGCATTTCAAAGTAAGTTGCACAGAGCAGTGCAGTTCACCCCTAGACAGTTCAGCCTGCAAATTACAACACAGCGTAAGTTAGAAGTCAGAGCCAAGGCTACAAGGAAGACATGTGTTCGGTAAGAAAACAAACTCCATAAAAACTGCAAGCTTGCACAAAAGCCATTGCAATCTTACACAAAAATACTTGTGTAAGGACATCTGCCCAGCCACTACCTGCCCAAACATGCACTGACATCACTCTTCACACTGAACTTTGTAGCCTCCGATAAGTATTTGAAAATATGTAATCCTCTTCCCTAGTTCCCTTTAAAAATCTTTGTCTTCCTTTACTTCCCTAAATATACACATAGTTTACTATTGCAGGCAGATTTTCAACACAGTATCTCATTGCCAAATATATATCTCTTTAAAAAGAGCTCCTCTCTGTTCACTATTTAAGCTGACAGAATGTATCCAAAAGAAGCTAAATGAAAAATTCTTGGACTGTCACACAAGCACACAAAGAAGGCATTAATGGGAGTATAAAACAGACTGTTTCTTGTTCTAAGGACACATATTAAAGTATTTTTCTAGTGACTTAGATTGGAGTGGGTGAGGCACTGTGGGAAGATTTTTAACTTCAGTACTTACTTTGCTGTCACCTCTGTGGCTCAACAACTGAGCGACGTCCCGATGTGTCTCTAAGTTATTTACCACTTGCATAAACCCCCTCTCACTGAAAGAGGTAGGGTCATGTTTGTAGGAATCTGTGACAGGAGCCCCAAGAGACTAAGACAAACTCTCACCTGTTCCCTCCACTAGCAAGAGATTATTCTGAGGCAAATTCCACATACCATAGCACCTTTTCTATACATAATTTAAAAACCACTCTGATTGTCAGTGGAGAAGAGACTACAGGGAAGTGGCGCTCCAGTCAGGGAGCCCCATGAGTCTGTCTGCCCCTCACCCCCTCTCACTGCGGGGGGCTCCCCCTGAGAGCAGGAGGGCTCAGTGTGCACAGACAGCCCAGACCCCCACTTCCCCGGGAGACACCAGCATTGAGGGCCCAGCATGGGGCTGAAGCTAGAACTGGCTCCTAACTCAAGCACTCTGGCACGGTGACAAGCAGGGAAAGTATGATTTCACTGTATTGATTTGTATGTAATTCACATGTCTAGTCCGCATCTGGGAAGCCCAGGCCTGAGCGGCACCGAGAGAACTGAGAGGGACGCTCATGTCCGGGGCCCCACGCGGGGCTGGAGAGCACAGTGAGGGTGTGCCCTGTGCACCTGCAGGTCAGGGACAGCAGGGGGGCCTGGGAGCAGAGGGCGGGTCTGTTGTGTTCTCTGTCGTGTTCCCCTCCTGGAGCACTGAAGAGTCCACAGCCATAATAGCTGTTTGAAAATGCATAAGAGAGAACCTTTTGTTATCAGAAATAACACGACTCTCCAAGATAAGAAGAAAACTTAGCTATGCTGATGGCCAGAATGGTGACTCTTTTCCACTGCATACCTGAAACTGTCAGATGTAAATTTCTACACTTGATTTTTTGATAGTCTATATGACAAATGTCACAGCTCAATTTCTGGAAAACTCAAACAAACCACATAATCTACATTTTCCTTTTGTACTAAATTTTTAATTTCAAGAAAGGGGCAGGTTAGGAACACATTGGAAATCTGATTTCATATCAGATCCTAATGAAAAAGAATGAATTTTGACTAAGTTTGCACATAAGAGTTATTTTTTATTTGATGAGTACATAATTTGAAAAAGTTTATTGGCTTCACAATAGCTACCCTCAGCACTTTGTTGGTGCAAAGAGATTATTGGTCTTGCACGGGCTTCTCTTCCATGCCTGCTTTTTTAAAACTTGAAAACCTTCCTTGCTTGTTCTATTGCTTCCGCAGTTACAGGAGGCTTCCTCTGGCTGCCAGGCTGCAGAAACTTCTTCACATTGGGGAGGTTGCTGATTCTGGTTTTCAGGGCCTGCAATGCACAGATCACAGGCTCAGAGTGCAGCCCAAAGACCAAAGCAATTATCAGACAACCCAGGAAATCGGAGCCCTGCCACTCTACACACAGACAGCGTCCCCTCCTTCAGCAGGACTGTGGCGGCTGGGAACACACACCAGAGAAATGAAGATACAGAAGAGAAAATATAGCTCAAAATAGCATTTTCCCCAAGGATGTCTCTAAGACTTTATTCTGTCCACAGTCATCCCGATCTTCTTCCTTCCACATTAATCCTGTAGATTCATGGCTCTTGTGCAATACAAGAAAAAATAATGTGCTTGTCACTGTCAACACAGTGAAGTGTCTAAGCCGGAAAAATGATGATATAGGAAAACTGAGCTGAGATTGAAGATAGACAACATTAAAGGCAAACCTTGGGTCAGTGAAACCAGTTTTCCCACTGAGAGGTGGAGACGGGGGTGGGCAAGAGTGTTCAGGGGAGGCCTGGGCAGAGAGGAACACAAGGTCTGACAGCAGGGGCCGCAGCCCAGGGAAGGAAACCAGATGGAAAGAGACCTGCTCAGACAGACTCAGAGTGAGAAGACAGAGGCAACCCCGGGATGAAGGGACTCCCAGAGAAATCGGGCACAGAGACTGCCATGGAATGGGGGAAAGGGAGAGAGATGCTGGGCTCTGGGTCCTATCCATTAACACATTGACTGCCACAGTAGAAACATTTTTTTTCCTTTGGGGTCACCATGTTTTATTACGAAACAGAATAAAAACTTCAAGAACAAAATGATCCTTTCTAATTTAATGAAAAATTTCTTATTGTTTATTATTTTCTGTGTGAATTATATGCAACTTGAAAAATAGTTCACACAGGGCCGGGCGCAGTGGCTCACGCCTGTCATCCTAGCACTCTGGGAGGCTGAGGCGGGAGGATCACTCAAGGTCAGGCATTCGAAAGCAGCCTGAGCAATAGCAAGACCCCATCTCTACTAAAAATAGAAAGAAATTAATTGGCCAAATAAAAACATATATAAAAAAAATTAGCTGGGCATGGTAGCACGTGCCTGTAGTCTCAGCTACTCGGGAGGCTGAGGCAGGAGGATTGCTTGAGTCCAGGAGTTTGAGGTTGCTGTGAGCTAGGCTGACGCCACAGCACTCTAGCCCTTGCAACACAGTGAGACTCTGTTTTAAAAAAAAAAAAATAGTTCACGCAGCTGAGTTAGGTGAAGAGACGTGAGTTACACAAGGCCCTAGGCTCAAAACTAGCATGAGTTAAATACAACTCACATGGCAGTTAATGTGTTTTAAAGGTAAAATAGTTGGTGTAACAGTGAACGCAACTAGCTCCATTTTGCTTCTGAGTGGCCGCCGTAATGTCCTTAGCTAAACGCTTCTGCTTAGCTCTGCATGTAGACCGACATAGGATAGGAAAAATTTAGTTTTCACTTCAATTCTAGAACAAAGATGATAACCATCCCTTTCCCAAAACTAACTCCTGGGGAGATAAAGAAAATACACACAAGTACCAATAATATGTTAAAGATTTTTAGGAACATCATGTCCTGACCTACACCCTGAAAAGTTAAATGGCCAGGAACACAGAGGTTTACAACCTCCTCAGATCCTCCCCAACACCAGGATGTCTGCATTCCTTGGTTTCCTTTGCAACCCACCGGCTTTCCCTGGTTAACTTAGCATAAAAATGTGGCCAAAATTAAGACTAATGGAAGATGGTTCTTTGGGTCATGAGTCCACCGTCTTCTCTGTTTGCTGGCTCTGCACATAAAAGTCAACTTCCCTGCCCCAGACCTTGTCTCTCAAATTACTGGCTGTTCTGCAACCAGTGGTGTGAGCTTTGACTTGCTTATATTGGGGTAGCGTCTGCCTCAATATGCTTCCCATAACAACAATCTTTTCTAGCCTCAGAACCAGGGTCTGGAAGCTCATTTTGGAGACCTGGGGGCAGTACCAGCCTGGAGGTGGCTGGGGTCTGAATGTCACCAGTCCAAGGGCCCAAATACCAGATTCCCTCATGGGAGCTGTGGGGCTGCCTCTCTGGGGGCTGTGAGACAGTGACACTGATCACCTTCAGCAGAGGGAAGTTGGCGTGAGGCTGGGGTCCAGCTCTTCCACGTGGTAGATAAGTTCAACCAGGTGAATGTCAGCCCGGCTCAGCCTGTTGCCAACCAGGTAGTCTTGTCCGTGGCTCTTTAACACCTGGGGGGTTGGAGGCATCAGATCAGGGACACACGCACAGTCAGGCTGGGCACCTGCTTGTCCCCAAGCCTCTCCAGCCTGACCTTCCCACCTCCACGTCCTCACTGCATGCGTGAGACCCAGACCTTTCTCCACGGTCCCTGATCCATGAGCGAGAGTGAGAAGCGGGCCTCTGCTCCTTGCTCCCTGCCCTCCTCGGCTCCCGTGTCCTCTGCTCGTTCCCACACCCTGCAGAGTTCACCCTCCCGCCCTGCTGGCATCTTCCACGTTGCCCGGGTCTCCAGCACCGGCTGCGGCATGTTCTGTGTCCCCCGCGCCCTACAGCACCCCCATGTTCCAGGACGTGGCTCTGCTCTCTGCCATTGTCTCTCTCTCTGCAGTGTCCCTGGACAGCCCTCCACCCAGGAGGACACCTCTCCTCCTTCCCTCCTCATTTCCTGGTCTATATGCTGGGATCTGAAGGAAACCCTGGTGACCTTGAATGCATCATCTTGCACCATTGGCTCTGACTCCTAACTTAAGCTGCTGTATATTCTGCAAGGTGCAGTGTCTAGGGGTGAACTGCGCTGATGTCTGCAACTGACATCGATATGCATTAAAAAAATCTTCATTTCCACTCCAGAGCCATCATCCCTGCTTAGATATTTCTCTTGCATCTCTGAAACACGGCAATATCCTCCTGATGGGCAGCCGGTTGCATATCTTTTGCCACATGGTGCCAGAATAGTTTCTGATGATTGCCTTCACCACGCTCTTCTTGAATCAAAGCCCAGAGTGTTCTGTAGGCTATAGCCCAGTCTCTAGTGTGGCTCAGAGCCTATACAGCCCACATTTTATTCAGGGACTATGAAATTCTGTGGAATAGAGAATTCTATATTTGGGTCTAGTTCATTCATATTTGCTAGAAAATTATAATTTGTTATAAGTGGTACAATTCTTCCCAGTCTATTTCATAAAATGCCTTGAGAGTCACGGAGCTGCACTGGGGTTCAGGAAGTCTCATTGAAAGGGCAGGTCACTGCCTCACCAATGCCCAGCCACTAGTTTTCTATTGCCTCCTAAACTCAGGGCCATGAAATGCTGAACACTTACTTTTTCAAAGGCAGGGAAATAGCGATTTGTTGTTTTCTCCTTGATCAAGGCAAGCTTGGCATCTTTTTCCCCAGGTGGATGCATGGGGAACATAATGATCATTTCATTCAAATCTGCCATACCTTCTATATACATGTCAATCCTGCAAGACAAAACAGCCTCATCGTCAACTATTTCTTACCTTAGATTTTATAGTTTAAAAATGTATGAGACTATCAAGACCAAACTCAGATATGTACAAAAAAAAAAAAATGTATGAGACTAGAACATCAAGTAGTAATTCTCCTCCAGTGGGTACTTTTTATATGATAGTCAATTTGATATGATTTTTACATATATAAACATTTATTACATAAAACACCGTATCGGGGTAGATGTGTTTCCAACATTCTTGTCATACACGTGATCAAATACAGGTTCAAGGAGCGTCTGTGACCTGTCCCAAGTCATAGTCATGAGATAAACTGATGGATTCCCTGCAAGTAACCACTGATTTGACACTCAATTTGACATCTCTATTGTTGTCTGTTCTGTGATCAACTTAGTGTGACTCAGGTGGCCAAAGACCTGCTGCCTCAGTAGCCTCAACAGAGGCCCTGGCACACCCATCCCGGCCATGATCCTCTTCCTCTCTCCCCACTCTGCTCCTCCCAGGCACCTGTCTGTGCCCAATATCAGCAGTTCTTCCAGCCGTCTCCCATGAACACGCTCCCACGGCCCCTCCAAGTGCTGCGGCCCTGCTCTGGCCGCGTTTGCATCTCTCCCCACCCAGCGTAAAGACCCCTTCCCTGGTGCGATGCTCCCCACAGTCACAGCCAGTGTGGAGGGCAGGAGACCTTCTCTTCTTTCCTTTCAAACTGGGTTTTCCACAATACTTTTAAAAACAATAGCTTTATTAACCTATGTTCACATACTATAATTGTCACTCATTTAAAGTATGCTATTCAGTGGATTTTGACACATTCGTAGAATTCTGCAAATATCACGACATTCTAATTCCAGAACATTCTTATCACCCTGAAAAGAAAATCTGTACCCACTGGCAGTGTTCTTCATTTCTCCCCACCCCACACCCCTCCTGGCCCACTATTCTACATCCTGCCTCCACAGATTCCAATATTCTGGAAATTTCATACAAAAGAGATACCACAATATGTGGCCTTCTGTGTCTGGTTTCCTTTATGCAACATGTTGTCTTTTACGTCAGCCATGTTGAGCGTACATCAGAACTTCACTCCTTCTTGTGGCCAAGTAATGTCCTACTGCCTGCCTTTGGCACATTTTGTTTCTCCATTCGTCTGCTGATGGATATTTGGGCTATTTCCACTTTGTTAGTTTTCTGAATATTGCTGTTATTTGCATTGGTATTTTGTGTACAAGATTTAGCGTTGCTGTATTTTCAATTCTTTGGGTGACATACCTAGTGGAGAAATTACTGATTCATTGTAACTCTGTTAACCTTTTTGGGTTACTTCCAAATGTTCCAACAAGGTTATGTTTTGGGTTATGAAGTCTCATCACAACAGGGAGGAGACCCCAGAGCACTGGAGGTCTGTAATACATCGGGTCGCTTCAGACTTGTATGGAGATGTTAGGTAATCACTGCATGTTGGGCACAAGGCTCGCCTAACCTGTGTCGAGTGGAAGAGTCCCAATAACTGGTTGATGACGTAGGTACCGGTCATCACTCTTGTGATTACTGAAACTTGACATTCAGCTCCTTTGGGCCCTTCCTCCCCAGGCTGTCATCTACACACACTCCAACTTTGTTTCCCTTGTCCCTACCTGCTGCCTGGAACTCAACTCCTAAAGGCCTGAGCACCTGGAATCAGGATTCCACCACCCTCTTGAGTTCATGCTTCACGAGTGTTTGGAAGCCTCTGTCACGGTGCTACACCCGTGGGCTGCACCCTCTCGCATGATCACACTCGCCTGAACCCGCCCACGTTCCTCGTCCCTCACGTCCGCAGGACTCTGCCACCCTGGACCTCAGTGCACGTGCCCACGGCCCAGCCTGCTGCTGTCCTCACCCCTGCACCGTCCTGCTCACTCGAGGCAGGACCTCAAGCCCTCCTGGGTTATCTGGTGGTGCGAGGACGGAAAATGTACCTACAGGGCTCTCTCCTTTAAGTCCTTCCCGTAGAGGTTGTGCTTGCTGGCGATGTAGTTGAGGATGGCTCTGGTCTGCACCAGCTCCATCCCGTCGATCTCTACCATGGGCACTTGCCCGAACATCAGCCGCCCGTCTTCGGGAAGAAGGAAAGACAAAGGAGAGGGAGATGACTATGGGTCCTGCTCTTTCAGGATGAAATTATAATTGGTGGAATGAATGAAGACAAAATGTAAAACAAAAAAATATAGTCTGGGAGCCTAACAACGGAAAGACCATCTTGTTACTAGCTTCCTGTAGTCTTTATTTTCTCTTATCAATTTTTCTTTTCATTTTTAGGCTTTTTATCTCCAATCCAGATAAGTGGTAGGTCCCTCATATTTTCTATGTCGATACATGTTCATGGACACTTTAGGAAGAAGTTGGGAGAGGTGACAACAGGGTGGCCAAGTGCATGTCATTTAAAATGGGAAGTTCCCAACGTAAGTCTCCTGGTTTTCACGACATTTAAGGTTCTTTCTTTTCCCTTCCTTCCTTCCTTCCTTCCTTCCTTCCTTCCTTCTCTTTCTCTCTTTTAGACAGAGTCTCGCTTTGTTGCCCAGGCTAGAGTGAGTGCCGTGGCGTCAGCGTAGCTCACAGCAACCTCAAACTCCTGGGCTCAAGCAATCCTCCTGCCTCAGCCTCCCGAGTAGCTGGGACTACAGGCATGCGCCACCATGCCCGGCTCATTTTTTTCTATATATTAGTTGGGCAATTAATTTCTTTCTATTTATAGTAGAGACGAGGTCTTGCTCTTGCTCAGGCTGGTTTCAAACTCCTGACCTTGAGCAATCCGCCCGCCTCGGGCCTCCCAGAGTGCTAGGATTACAGGTGTGAGCCACCGCGCCTGGCCTTAATGTTGTTTCTCAGAGAATTTTCTATGCACAAGTCCCCTTTCTGTGCTCTTCAAAGCCTACAATATAGCCAGAATGTCACCTTGTCAAACTAGTGAGAGAAAAGAACTCAGGATGGACCTATATCTGCTGCTTTTCTCTAATGCATGTCCTTGTGTGCCCTTGCTTGGAGGTGCACTGGGAACCGGAGCTGACCCACAGGTCCATCAAGGCTCAGAAAGCAGGAGAAAGCGAGGAGAGGGCATTCTCAGGGCGCTGGGGATGGTTCCTTTAGCAAATACTCAGCGGTCTGGCCCGTTTCACCCTGAGAGTTGCCAGACCTGCTCCAGGACACACGCCCCTTCCATTTTAACCACTTTTCTCCCTCCCCAAACACAGAGGCATGGCCTGGTATTAAAAGCCTCCCGAGTACATTCTACTAGTTACCCTCACAGCAGCATTTAGATACTTGTTCTTACCATTTCTTAACTTATCCCAATCTTCTGGGCATGTTATAAATTGCTCTTCAAACTGGAAGCAAAACAGTAAATGGGTTCTCGTTAGTTCGTCCCACAGCGCTACAGACTGTTACACTCGAATGGCCCCTGTCCAGAACACGACCTGGAGCAGGGAAGATTCCTGAGACTTGCAGGGACACACATTAGTCTGGCCAGGAGCATCTGGAAATGCAGGTGAGACGCAGGGAGAAAGGAGCATGGGGGGAGCACAGAGAGGCTCACTCTTCACAGCAGCCCCCCTCCCCTCCACCCCGGACCCCACAGTGTTCGTGGTGTGGTCATGATTTGGGAGGGTGAGTCACTGGATGGAAGGGACTGGGAAGTTCTAGTTATGGTGCTTCCATATCTCAGAGAATCTTGTGACTCCAAGAGAGATCAGAACAGAACCCGGGTGTCCCTGGCCTGGGGTGTGCTGTGACCAAGATTCTGACACCAAGGGGTGTTTGCTGCAATTTCAATCATTCTTTACCACTGCATAGTTTAAAAGAGGTTTTTAGTCATCTAAAGTTCAGGAAATTGGGGGTCCCAACGTGCTCACTGCAGCAGGGATTGCCGTGGTGTGTGAGCGCACAGGGTCATGAGGTAGGTGCAAACACAGGACAGAGGTGTGTAAGTGAGGAGGGGTGTGAGCGCCAGCAATTAACAAAGCATCCCCTTCCAGACAGACAGAGGGGTGGCAGGTGGTCACGGCAGGGGTTGGGAGGGGGGTGGCCGGTGTGACATTGCTGGAGAGCCTGAGGGACTGGATCGCAACCGTCAGCCTCTGGGCACCGGGAACCCAGAGCGCTGAGCGGGGGCCTCAGTCAGCCCTCCCCCCAGTCCCTCAGTGCAGCAGGGGAGGAGAGGAGGGAGCCTGGGTGCTCGCAGCCTCGCCCCTGCACCTGCTGTGCTGCACTCGCCCTGCCCACGGCTCTGACACAGCCCTGAACTCACACACATTTACACTAAAAATTTAATAATAATTATTTAATATCATTTAATATTTAATTAATATACAGGTTTCTAATTGTGGTTTAAAGTGTCATAAATTACATTTTTTACTTAGTTTAAATCCAAATCCAAGTAAGGTCCACACATCATGATTAATTGATGTTTCTTTTGGTTCTTTTGAAAATATCTTTTGATTGTTTATGTGCTCTTTGGTAGGCAGATGGACAGATCTTTTTCCTTTTAATTTGGTCAAATTAGTTCATTTTTTCCCTAGTAACTGGGGATATTTTCACCGAAGGTAAAACTATTCACAGATCATCTTGTATGGAAGTTTCCTGGCTTAGAAAAGGATTTTCATACAGTTCATTTTAGATATGACCTAAGTCCCAACCTACCTCTACTCCAGCTGCAGCCAAGAGCCACCGGATGGCCTCCATTCTGCCCCGTCCATTGAAGTAGTGAAGCTTGGGCTTCCCCGCCATAATAGCAGTCACTTGGTTTCTATAAGCATGAATAAATAAATGAA